CACATAATGATAGTTTAAAGTACTGCTAAATAAGCACTTCAAAAATTTCAAATTTTAAAACATATTCCATAAAATATAAAGCCTGTTAGTGTTATAAAAGTTATTAATTACACTTACATATCAAAGTGTTAAAAAAGAAATTCCACACTCAAACCAATTATCTGAGTAGTAAACATTCAATCAAAAAATTTTTAAATGTTTTCATTTGAACAAAATACAACAGAAGGTATAAAACAGGCAAAAATTACCTAATTTATATTGACTTGTCCTAGTAGAAAATGTTGCAGGTTAACTTTAGACATTAAAAAGATTCATATTCCAAAGGAATAGAAAAGCTGTTTGCAATCCTTTTTATGCCTAATCAAAGAACCACATAATGGCATTAAATATTCTACATTTTGTTGGTTGCTCCCTAATTGCCAGTAATGGAGGACTACTATGCAAATTTAGTTTTAAAAATTATTTTTCTTCCAATGAACATTTTTATATAGAGGCTGTCCTAAGTATGGAAACATTAAACAAGTTAATTTATACTTAAGATCTTCACTATAAATATGGCCTATATATTATCCTGTCAATTTTTTTTTCTCTGAAAATTCAGTAATCTCACAAGTATTAGAGGATCGAATTCCAAAAAGTTGAGTAATTTGATTCAGATCTCTTGAATTGACAGAGTACCTTTCTTCCAGGAAATGCATATTTATTTTATAAGTGTGGAAATATATATATTTCGGCCAGGCACGGTGGCTCACGCCCATACTCCCAGCACTTTGGGAGGCCGAGGTGGGTGGATCACGAGGTCAAGAGATTGAGACCATCCTGGTCAACAAGGTAAAACACCGACTCTACTAAAAATACAAAAATTAGCTGGGCATGGTGGTGCGCACCTGTAGTCCCAGCTACTCGGGAGGCTGAGGCAGGAGAATTGCTTGAACCCAGGAGGCGGAGGTTGCGGTGAGCTGAGATCGTGCCATTGCACTCCAGTCTGAGTAACAACAGTGAAACTCTGTCTCAAAATATTTGAGACAGAGTTTCACTGTTTCAATTATATATATATATATATATATTTCTTTGAGATGGGGTCTTGCTATGTCACCCAAGCTGGAGTGCAGTCACTATTCACAGGCATGATCACAGCTTCCTGCAATCTCAAACTCCTGGGGTCAAGGAAGCCTCCCATCTCAGCCTCCTGAATAGCTGGAATAGCTGGGATTACAGGTACGTGCCACCACACCCAGCTTATATTTGATATTTTGATTTTATTAGCATTATGTTCACTAACCCCTTTATTTCCTCTAAGGTAAATAAGTCACTGCTAATGAATTTTTTTAAATTGTAGAACTAGTTATCCAGCAACATCCTAAATAAATTCAATTTTTTCTTAACAATGGGAAACTATAAAGCCTTTCAGACTAGTACATTTTATTGTACTGATCTACACTGAATTCAATTCAAGTGTAGACTAAAGTACAATTTTTGTTTTTGAAATTTCATTGGTAAAAAACACACACAAAAAGACTATACTTTCAGGAATCATTTCTACAGTGTGTTACTAGAGAAGTTTCTCTGAATGTGTAGACAAAAATAAAAATTAAAAAAAAAAAAAGGAAACATTTCATTGGTCAAAATCAGGCTGAAACTTTAGAGATCAAGCTTAAATTAGTTCAAATTTTTGTTTTTTGAGATGGAGTGTCGCTCTGTTGCCCTGATTGGAGTGCAATGGCATGATCTCGGCTCACTGCAACCTCCATCTCCCAGGTTCAAGCAATTCTCCTGTCTTAACCTCCCCAGTAGCTGGGATTACTGGTGCACACCACCACGCCTGGCTAATTTTTGTAATTTTAGTAGAGACAGGGTTTCGCCATGTTAGCCAGGCTGGTCTCGAACTCCTGACCTCGTGATATGCCTGTCTCAGCCTCCCAAAGTGTTGGGATTACAGGTGTGAGTCACCTCGTCTGGCCTTAGTTCAAATACTTTTAAGTCAAATGTAAAATATATCTGTAACTTAAAGGAAAAATGCTTGAGGAAATGAATACCTCATTCTCCATGTTGCACTTATTTCACGTTGCATGCTTGTATCAAAACATCCCATAAATATATACACGTACTATGTACCCAAAACAATTTTTAAAAATGTAAAAACAATTTTGTTTATACTAAAGCATAAATTGAAAGAGCAATGAAAACTGGAAAGCTCACCTGTATTTACTATAAATGTATCAATTCACTAAAATCTCTATGGACATGTAAGTAAAATACATGAATGCCAATAGCAGATGGGTTAAAATTCTCTTTCTTTAAAAGAGAAATAAGTTGTAGAGTCTACTAATAAGGATTGCTAATCTAAAAAAAAAATCCTCAAGCACCGAGCGCAGTGGCTTATAACTGTAATCCCAGCACTTTGGGAGGCCAAGGCAGGAGGATCACCTGAGGTGGGAGTTTGAGACCAGCCTTACCAACGTGGAGAAACCTCGTCTCTAACTAAAAATACAAAATTAGCCGGGTGTGATAATGTAATCCCAGCTACTCGGGTGGCTGAGGCAGGAGAATTGCTTGAACCTGAGAGCCAGAGATTGTGGTGAGCTGAGATCATGCCATTGCACTCCAGCCTGGGCAAGAAGAGCAAAACATGGTCTCAAGAAAAAAAATCTATAAGCAAGAAGAAAATATAATGTATTAGAATATCAAGGTCTTCCCCACAAGCCTCACATTTAGTTTTGCTAGACTAAATCAAGGTAAAAGCAATCCACATTATAATTTATGATAGTGATTTCTGTTTGATAAGCCACAAAAATGTTTATAGGAATTTTCTAAGAACACTTTTCTGTAACAATACTTAATAAATACAGTGTATCATTAAAGACATGTTAGGGAAAAAGCAGCTTCTCTTCCTCTTAAAATCACTGGTGGTGGGAATGCAAGAGAGGAAGAGATGACAGCTTTTTTTTTTTTTTTGCCACCATCTTGGAGAAGATGACAGCTTTTTTAAGTCAAATTTTCATCCCCTCCCTCTTTGTTTATTTTGAGTCCTCAAATAAAATATTTCTGTATGTTAATTTCTTAATCACTATTTTTAGCTTGGTTACTACACATTTAATTACAATATAAAGTTGACATTGAGGATGAAGAAACTTGAGTAATTACACTTTTTCTCATTTCTATTTAACCAATAATATTTTAATAGCAAATTAGAACAAGATTTTTACCTCCTTAGTAACTAATGGTTGGATAAAGTCGAATTTGTATCCAATAACTCAGATTTCAGATTTCTGGATGCACCAGTTACTATGCTATCGAGGAGCAAAATCTAGATAATGAAGTTAAAATATTAATTACTACTCCAGCTATATGAAACCAAATTATTTTGAGAAATTATTTCAATGTAGTAAAAAAAAAAACAGTAACTTTCTTTACTGTTCTTCATAAAACGTGATTGAGGCTTTTAAATATCATGAAGCTAGGATGAGGGTGCAGGTAATTTTACAAAAAAAGCTGTATTTTGGCAAATACCTTATGAATATTATAAATGAAAATACAGTTAAGAGTTTAAAAATGGCACGGGGCGGGGGAAGTGGCACTTAATCTGTTCTTCTCTCTCAGTCTGCCAAATAAATTAGATTCCTTGGAAAAAAATAAAATTTGATACAATGGAGGCAAAATTAACTCCTGTCAGGTAAGTCATTTGCCATAAACCAAAGGACCCATAACTGCATTAAGCAGAAAGAGGGACTGATTGTTAATGGAGCTTCTCTATTTGTAATTTATTCAGCAAAAGCAGACAAGTTTTATAAAGTGTCTAATACAAAATTTAGTTCAAACATCAAAGGTCTAATCCATTTTAAGAGGCATTAGGTTTATTTTTTAATAAGTTGAACTGAACTTAGATGAAAGATATAGATCTGTTCACATATTTTATACATTATTTAGAGAAATGAAAAATCCTGCTGCCTTTGCTATCACTTGTCATTTTGGAATTTCTTAGATAAAATTTAAAAAATAGAAAGATAATTTGACCTCTGACTCCCAGGAGAATGTTCAGTCCACATATGAAAATTACCAAAGAATGAGGAAAAAGTGTTTTCAAGTTGGTAGGTACCAGAGTAATTAGCTGGTCTAACCTACTCATGTTACTCATGTTGTCAACGAGAAAACTGAGATACAAGCATCTTGAGCTGTGGCAAATTACTCAACTCTTCCTTGTTATTGCAATTAAACTGAGACTAACACCAAGTCTCTTGCTGTTGTTGCCAATTCTTTCCTCTGAACCATGCTTTGTACATCCTCCACCAAGATTAACAGTCATTACCTATGGGGTAAGAGGAGGAAATCAGGAAAAAAAAAAAAGATAATGGGTGGGGTAGAAGAATGTGGGATAATTTTAGAAATGTTGTACTCAACAATGAGCCATATGTATTAGTACATAATTTCTTAAGAAAAATAATTAAAAAAAATCAAACCTTAACATCAAGAGAACCAAATTTCAAAGATCAGAAATACCAAAGTGAAACTAAATGTTAATATTGAAATTTAAGCTACATTTTCAAAAAAACAGCAGACCAATAAAAACCAGATTTCAGTTTGTCTCCTAATTTTAGTAACTTGTTCTATGTTTCTCTATACATGGAAAAAATGTTCTTAACATACACGTGCAATCTGAAGTAATTTTCACTTCTGAAGTTTAAGAAAAGATTGGGCTTAAAAAATACTACAAAAATATGCACTTATATTTATTCAAAAATTATGTATTTCCAACCTCTGCAGTGACATAGGTGTGAATTTTCACTGCTGAACTGCCTTCTTGCATGGTCTTAGTTATTTCTATAGAGCAGAAATAATTTGCATAATTCTTTACAGTAAAACCCATTCAGAAACTCACTTTGATAGTAATACTTTTATCTAACATTAGAGCTGAAAAAAACAGATTTTAGTAAAAAAGTATAGAGGTGGGTCAAGGCAATTTTTTTTAGAAAAATATACTGTATATAATACATCTCGGTAACTACACAGACCATATGCTTTTATTTCATGTGAAGGCACAACTTTAACATTAAAAGCAAAGCATTTTAATTATTTATGATGTAACTGTTAGTACCAGCTCAGAAAAATATATATTTGCAAGCATATCATTGAAGACTCTTTCAGATTGTCAATTCAAAAGTCAATTTAAAAAGTCAAAGTCTATTTGTAGAAAATCAGTGACACATTATAGCAGTTCCACATATTATTACTGCTGGACAATCTGTTCACCAGACATCACAGGGTTTTCTTCATTTGTTGCATAGTCCAGATGGTCCATCATCTAGGCATAAATAAAAGACATTAAGAAATGCAAAATTTCAACTTGCCCCCAGTATTTACTATATTAGCAGAAGGATTCCAAGTTTTTCTAAAAAACACATATTGCTCTATGAAACTTAGCATTCCTTCTAGAGCACTGTTAGGAAGCCTAGTCATGTGACCCAGGGCCAATTTGTATTCTCTGGATCTTCCATTATCTCCATTTCCCAGTATGAATACTGCCCTTCATGGCAGTGAGAACTCCACCACAAAAGGAAGATATTCCTGACACTTATTCCAGGATATTAGTCCAGGCAGTGTCCAATTATACAAGTGGAAAAACTAGAAATGACCCCATGAGTCATTGTGAGAATACCTGCTGGCTCTGGGACAGTGTAATATTATTGACAGATTGAAATAACCGTAAGGTATTATAATAATTTCTACAAAAAATGAATTTGGTCTCTGAAATGATATCTGAAAACAAAATCAAGAATACATTTGCTATAGACTATTTTAAAGAAATTACCAGTTAAATGATTCTCAAATGGTCACTTCAGCTCTGCCTGTATTCTCATAAAAAAATTGGAAATGAAGGAAGAATTGGAAATATTTGGAAATGAAGGAAGAAGAAACTGCTTAAATGCTCAGTGTTTCAGTAATTCAGATAAAATTACTAAAAATAGAAAAAAGAATTTAATGTCTTTGTGAAGACTGTCAAAGACTTTTAGGCTAGTGATTAAATTTCAGTATTGTGATGCATTTTTTTCCTTTCCTTTATCAAGAATTAGAAGAAGGAAAGATTAGCAAGATAAATGCTCCTATTTTTGAAATGTGGTTTTGTAGGCTTTAGTGTTTTTTCAAAGAAAAGAAAGAAAGTGGAATCATCTCCAAGTAGGGTCTCTTGACTTGCCAGGCAAAAAGAATACAACATGAGCTGAGGCTTTTGGCTGACAACTGTAGACAGACAACATTTATTAAGCAGTTCATTACATGAAACATAAGATGAAGATGTTGAACAGTTAATTTTAGTCAATTTAAGTGAAGGGGGAAAGGAAAAGTATGTAAGATATATTTAAGCCCCTTTTCTTCTAGGAATATAAAAGTTCTGGGTGTAAGAGGTTAGGGCTGTGTGGAGAGAGAATTGAGCAGCCTCAGCAGAATGGATGGTGGAGAAATCCTTTTTCTTTCCCCGGATCTGCTTACCCTGGCAACTGTAGTCTAATGAAAATGATAGCCCGCATACCCTAAATTATAACATGCTTCCCAGGTGCCTCATTAGCAGAGAAGGTAGTGCGTCAGTCTCATCTAACGTGCCTCTTCTTTCCTAATCCTCAGGTACCTCACTGGCACTATATAATCTAATCCCTGAACACAGAAATATATTAATTAAAAAAAAAAAAACACTTTCAAAGTCCACTTATTGAGAAGTAAGCATCTCTATTCCCTATTTACTTTTTTTTAATGACTTTTCAATAAAAACAATATAGAGGCCAGGTGCGGTGGCTCACACCTACAATACCAGCAGTTTGGGAGGCTGAGGCGGGTGGATCACGAGGTCAAGAGATCGAGACCATCCTGGTCAACATGGTGAAACCCTCATCTCTACTAAAACAAAAATTAGCCGGGCATGGTGGCCCGTGCCTGTAGTCCCAGCTACTCGGGAGGCTGAGGCAGGAGAATTGCTTGAACCCAGGAGGCGGAGGCTGCGGTGGGCCGAGATGGCGCCATTACACTCCAGCCTGGGTAACAAGAGTGAAACTCCGTCTCAAAACAAAACAAAACAAAAAAACAATACAGAAACATAAAGAACAAAGTTTTAAAAAATAAAACAATGGGACCGGCCCGCGGAGCTGCAGCGGTCCTTCGCACCCTCCTCGCCCTCCCCACCGACATCATGCTCCAGTTTCTCCTTGGATTTACATTGGGGAACGTGGTTGGAATGTATCTGGCTCAGAACTATGACATACCAAACCTGGCTAAAAAACTTGAAGAAATTAAAAAGGACTCGGATGCCAAGAAGAAACCCCCTAGTTCATGAGACTGCCTCCAGCACTGCCTTGGGGATACACTGATTCTACCGCTCTTGAGGGCCTCCTTTACTATCCGAACCAAAAGCTTTTGTTTTCATCTTCAGCCTCAGGGCTCCTCTTCTTTGTTAGACCCTGCGTTTTTTGCTTTTTAGAGCAAGCAAATTGGGACCCCAATTTGAGAACTACCCTACATTTCCAACATACTCACCTCTTCCTGTATTCCCTTTCCAACTGCACGGGAGGTCCTAAGACTGGAATTATGGTGCTAGATTAGTAAACATGGCTTTTAATGAGTAGTGTCTTCTTTACTGTTTGTAATTTTTACTACCTTTTGTCATGAGAAAAACTGATGAGTTTTGTATAGCTGGTCAGATACAAATAATAGTGACTTCACAGTTTGGCAATTATAATGGGTACTTGTTAAACATTTGATACTAAATTATGTTGCTGCAAAGTAATTAAAATTAATATCTTAGAGCTAGTTTCTGGCGAATTATTCATTTATTTTGTACTGTTAGGTAGCTCCATAGTTGCTAATTTAACCAATAAATCAATTTACTATTCATTAACTAAGAAACAATTCTGAGAATCCTGTCAGAAATTGGGGAATGAAAAAATATGCAAAATAATGGTCTTTGTCCCAGTAGAGTTGTCTATTTAGTGTGCAGGTTTTTCCTTAATGATGTATTTGATCTGACTTCTTTCCTTCTCAAAAGGATCATACTTGGGATTACAGGTATATTTGATATTATATGATGGATAAGTGAAAAGTTATTAAAAGAGATTTTATACCTTTTCACATTAAAAAAGGTATTTATATTATTACTTTGTGGTGATTCTCTTAAGAAAAATGTAGCCCAAATGTATAGTAAAATCAGCGGCTCAAGAAAAAAAAATTAAGATAAATAAATAATACAACAATGAATTAACATAAATAATACAATTAATTGACAAAGCTGGCAAACATTTTTATCATATTTGGAAATAGGAAAACTTGATTTGGAAAGATGGCCTCTGAAATCAGGTCAGCTAACCTGGCATTTTCTGACAGCTTTGCTTGCTTATAACTGAACCAATCTCCAGAAATAGTCTAACAAAACACACACTAAAGCAGGGTAACTGGAGACTTGCTGATACTAAAGCAGAGTTGTTCTAAGTTATCTCTGTATTCTGACTTGTCAGTTACAGCTTGTGACTTCTAAAAATAATGAGAAGTACTAGTGACATTTAACAGAGACAATTCAACTGTTTACTGCGTATCAACAAACTGAAAACTTCCTACCCACCCAGAGTAAAATAGCCCGTTGGATGTTGCTACACACATACACATTTAACTTCGCTGATTTAATTACAGAAACAAAAAATATCCCCTAAAATGATGACTCCTCTTTATTGCGCTACATGCCAAGGTAATTATGATTCTGCTTGATTTTTCTCTGTTGAGAAAACATACCTTTATTTGCTTTATACAATTAGAACTAAGACTTCATATAATATCAAGTAAGTGAGACTGAATACTATAGCTCTTGAAGCATTCCACAAAAAAAGTTCAGAGGAAATATAGTATAACTAGCTTTGGGCTATAGAAAAGAATTTACAATTAGTATTTCCAAATTAGCATTATTTTAGTGAAACCTATAGACACGTTACTTCTTTTGATGAGAGAAATTCACAGAAAGGGCTAAAAGACTTGAAATAAGATTCTAAAGTACTTCAAGAAGGTCTCCAAGTTACAACAAGTAAGGTACAATTTGCCCACTAAAAACAGCAAGAAAAGACTGTGAGGGCTACCAGGACATTTAAAAAGTCTCCAGTGAAAAGTTCTGCTTTTTACTACCACTATTCTTGCACTCAACTCTATTATCAGCCATTCGAATGAACCAAGTGACCAATAGGATGAACAAATTTGCCTTAGCCTTAGATTGTAACTTATATTACCTGTTTTATATTTGATTATTTCAAAAAAGCAGCAAAAACTTGCAATATTACAAAAAAGATTGCATATAAAGACTGTAGAGATACATGTCTATTTTACTGTTCTAAAAGTGCCTCACTTTTACAGTGGCATATGACAATTACAATCATTTTATAAGGGCTGAAATATAATAAGGAAGCTTATACACACATACAAAAATAACTAAAAGGCTAATGGATGAAGGATTGAGCATTACAACTGCACTGCATGAAGACTTTCAGTAATATTAACTGAGAATTTACAGCATAAAAAATACTGTCATAAGCATTGTGGATTCCTAATACATAGGAGCTAATACTTAGTGAGGGAGGCACTGCAGGGCAGATGTTAATAAGTATTTAAAGTACAAAGTCTAAAAAAATACAGTGAAAGGTAAACCTGAGTTTAATTGGAGCACCTACTTCCTTCTAATTTCTTAGAGATCTGCTTGGAGAAGGCAGAATTTAAGTTGAGAATTAAATAGGGATATTCTGGAAATAGAAACTGACAAAGCTTAGGAGATGACGGAGGCTGGGAGAGAGAAGCAAATGATTATTACACTCTTAGTCTAAGAGATGAGCCAGAGCTGACCATCAGGTCTATCTCACAGTGGGCCCTTATCAAGTCTCCCTCTGTCTCACCAGGCAGTAGAAATTCCCCACTCTACATATAATAGTATAAGATGAGGCTGGGCGTGGTGGCTCATGCCTGTAATCCAAGCACTTTTGAGCCCAAGGCGGGCGGATCACCTGAGGTCGGGAGTTCAAGACCAGCCTGACCAACATGGTGAAACCCTGTTTTTATTAAAAAAAAAAAAAAAAAAGTATAAGATAAGACAACAGCTTTGTGAGGTAGGCAAGACAGGTATTACTAGTTTAACCAAATCTCAAAGAAACTTTAAGATTTCCCCAAAACAATTCTAAACCAGTATTTTTTCAAATCGAAATAGTCTGTCACTTAATGTGTTAACCATATCTCATTAAATAACACTATAAATGACAGGAAAGACCAGGCACAAGATGAACATGAACTTTGAACTGTTTATCTACTATCAGAATTGCAGCCACCCACCCAAAGTGTCTTTTTGTCCACGTGACCACTGACACAGAAGCATGAGAGTGGATGGAGGAGGGTACTAGTTATAATAGGGCAAAGCAAAGGTAACTGCCCCACAAAGGACCTTCATGAAGGGATCAGTGCCATGGCCCTGACCTCAATAGGCTAGGGTTTCCCAACTCTTCTTAAGTTCAATGCAAACAGACTTTACTGGAATACCAAGAATACTTAGAAAAAAAAAAAAAGGTTTAACTTCAATGAAGAAACCACTCAAACAAAAGAGATTCTGGTGTCAAGTTTTTTAGAAGCTGAAGAGTACACTTTCCTGGGTTCAAGCAATTCTCCTCCCTCAGCCTCCCAAATAGCTGGGATTACAGGCATGCGCCACCATGCCTAGTTAATTTTGTATTTTTTGTAGAGACGGGGTTTCTCCATTTCGGTCAGGCTGGTCTCGAACTCCTGATTTCAGATGATCCACCCACCCTGGCCTCCCAAAATTCTGGGATTACAGGCCTGAGCCACCACGCCTGGCAGAAGAGTACACCTTTTATCTGTAAAGCTTTAGGACTCTTACTATAAATAGCTAATGTCAGTCTCAAAATTAAGTACTTATTTTATTTATTTATTTATTTTGAAACAGAGTCTCGCTCTGTTGCCAAGTACCAGGCTGGAGTGCAGTGGCGTGATCTCAGCTCACTGCAACTTCCAGGTCCTGAGTACAAGCAATTCTCCTGCCTCCGCATCCTGAGTAGCTGGGACTACAAATAAGCGCCAGCTGATTTTTATATTTTTTTAGTAGAGATGGGGCACCATGTTGGCCAGGATGGTCTCAATCTCTTGACCTCGTGATTCGCCCACCTTGGCCTCCCAAAGTGCTGGGATTACAGGCGTGAGCCACCATGCCAAGCTTGTATAGGTTTTGAAAACACAAATGCTATTTTGCTGATGCCCTCTGCTGTTTTTTTTTTTTTTTTTTTTTTTTTTTTTTAGTTTTGTCTTGAATCACCAGGCTTTTGGCATTAGATTGCAGGGCAGGTGACAATGATGATGCAGCAAGTGGACAGTGAGTAAGGGGGTATTACAGTACTTTTTGGTACCTAAAAAGCTTTGCTATATATAGCCTGTTCCCACCCAAAACCAGTCAGTAAATTAAGTCATAAGATAACTTGGTAACCAAAGTATAAGCACATACCTGATAGTTGTTACCTTTCCAGAACTTTTTCATTTCCTTACGTCTCCAGGCAACAACTGAGGCAGTAATAAGTGTGCAAGGTACTAAATAGAGGAGAGCAGGTTGCCCCTTCTTCATCAGCACCAGAACAACAAATGTAAGTATCATGCCAATAGCATAGGCTGCAAGAAGAATATCAAGCTATCAGTCATCTGTACATGTTACCAAAGGTGGGTTTTTTCCTCTCTCATTTAAGTATTGGTTTTCAAATATTTCTGAGGACATTTTTGCTCTATGACTTCTTGTAATTTCATCATTTTCCTAGATAGGATTAGGAGAGAACTTCTATGGAGCTTTTGGACAAATTTGGAAACTGGTTAGCATTTCAATTATTATTAACCTAACCATGAATCATTGATAAAGATAATTCATGAGAGTTTCAATTATCTGTTGCTATTAAAGATGCTAAATGGTTTCATACTTTAGATAACTAAATCTGTACCAATAGGTACTGAAGGTTGTTTTAAAAAAATCTTCCTGGCTAGGCGGAATCACCTGAGGTCAGGAGTTCAAGACCAGCCTGACCAACACGGTGAAACCCCATCTTTATAAAAAAATAAATAAAATAAAATAAAATAAATAAAAATAAATCTTCCTAATACTGATTACATACTTTCTAAGCTTTGTTAATAAGCACATACTTTTGAACTTTTCTTAATGACTCAGGGTTTTACTGGGAATATAGGATCTCAGAATATTGCCTTTATAAACAATTTAGTATAGCTCCTAATTTTAAAGATGAGGCAACGGAGTATCAGGGTATTTAAGTGATTGTCCAAAGGTACACAGGAAAATTAACGAACTCTCTTACAGTCTGCCTTTGGATATTAATATGTTAAAGTCCTGGAGAGCACCAAACTGAGAGGCCTCTCAAACTGCTTTTTTGAGACAGAGCCTCGCTCAGTTGCTCAGGCTGGAGGGCAGTGGTGCAATCTTGTCTCACTGAAACCTCTGCTTCCTGAGTTCAAGCAATTTTCCTACATCAGCCTTCCGAGTGGCTGGGACTACAGGTGTGTGCCACCATGCCCAGCTATTATTTGTATTTTTAGTAGAGATAAGATTTCACCATATTGGCCAGGCTGGTCTCAAACTCCTTACCTCAAGTGATCCACCCATCTCGGCCTCTCAAAGTGCTGGGATTATAGGCATGAGCCACTGCGTCTGGCCAGGCACTGTGCCTGGCCGAGACTACCTTTTAAATTTCTTTATGCTTTTTTCCTTTCTTCATCTTCTCCCTCACTTTTTTCTGTTCTTCTCTCTCTCTTTCTTTTTTTTTGAGACAGGGACTCAGTCTTTCACTCGGGCTATAGTGAAATGGTACGATCATGACTTACTGCAGCCTTGACCTCCTGAGCTTAAGTGTTTCTCCATCTCAGCCTCCTGAGTAGCTGGGACCACAGGCACAACCACCATACCCAGCTATTTAAAATTTTTTTTTTCTTTTGAGTCAGAGTCTCAATCTGTCACCCAGGCTGGAGTACAGTGGCGCAATCTTGGCTCACTACAACCTCCGCCTCCTGGGTTCAGGCAATTCTCCTGCCTCAGCCTCCTGAGTAGCTGAGATTACAGGCACGCACAACCATGCCCAGCTGATTTTTTGTATTTTGAGTAGAGACGGGGTTTCACCATGTTGACCAGGATGGTCTCGATCTCTTGACCTCATGATCCACCCGCCTCGGCCTCCCAAAGTGCTGGGATTACAGGCGTGAGCCACTGCGCGCGGCCTTCTGTATTTTTAGTAGAGATGGGATTTTACCACGTTGGCCAGGATGGTATCAATCTCTTACCCTTGTGATCTGCCTGCCTTGGTCTCCCAAAGTGCTGGGATTACAGGCTGAGTCATTGCGCCCCGCCTTAAAATATTTTTTATAGAGATGGGGTCTTACTGTGTCGCCCAGGCTGGTCTCGAACTCCTGGGCTCAAGCAATCTGCTCTCCTTGGCCCCCAAAGTGGTAGAAGTACAGGGGTGAACCACCATGCCCAAACTGTACTCCTTCATTTTTAGACCTCTGTCTTTTCCTTCAGATAATACAATTCAACATTTAATACAAAGAAAAAACAAAAATTTACCAACTGTAGAGGAAACATAGTATATATAAGAAGAACCAGTCTGAACATCAAATCTTCTACAGTACGCAATCAATAGGCCTTAAAAAAAAAACAAAACTCCATATTATTTTCTTAAAACAACAGCAATGCAAATTCAACTGTTAACTATACTAACAGTAAATGTTGCATTGAATCTTCATTGTTGCATTATGAGAACATTCAAGTACCTCAAATTCTGGACAAAGTTTTATATGCTGATTTTTAAAATGCTTAATAACATATTTTAAATATTTCCTCAAGCTATTAAATACTTTTTAACTGTCATTTTTATTAGCCGATCAATATTCCATGTCATGAAGAAAACTTTTAAAATTTATAGTTAAAAAATGTATTGAACAGAAAAATAGGTTTACAGTAAACTAAAAAACTTCTGCACAGCCAAGGAAACAGTCAACAAAGTGAGCACCTATGAAATGGGAAAAAATATTTGCAAACTATATATCTGATAAGGGGTTATATCTAAAATATATTAATATAAGAAACTTAAACAACTCAATAATAAGTAAACAACCCAATTAGAAAATGGGCAAAGAATTTGAATAGCCAGTTCTCAATAGAAGACACACAAACAGCTAACAGATATATAAAAATATTAAAAAATTGCTCAAAATCACTAACCATCGGAAAAATACAAATTAAAACCACAAGGAGATATCACCTTACATATTTTAGAATGGCTATTATCAAAAAGATTAAAAGTAAGTCTTAGAGAGGATGTAACAAAAAGGGAACCCTTGTACACTGTTGATGGGAATGCAAATTAGTGTAGCCATTATGGAAACCAGTACGGTGGTTCTTCAGAAAATTAAAATTAGAACGACCGTATGATCTAGTAATCCCTCTACTGAGTATATATCCAAAGGAAGTGAAATCAGTATGTCAAAGAGATATCTGCATTCCTATATTCACTGCAGCATTATTCCCAATAGCTAAGATAGGGAAGCAAACTACGTGTCCATCAACAGATGAATGAATAAAGAAAATGTGGTATATACACAAGACTGGAAAACTATTAAGTCTTTTTTTTTTTTTTTTTTTTTTGAGACAGAGTTTCGTTCTGTCACTCAGGCTGGAGTGCAGTGGTGCAATCTCGGCTCACTGCAACCTCCGCCTCCTGGGTTTAGGTGGTTCTCCTGCCTCAGCCTCCCGAGTACCTGGGAATATAAGCGCGTGCCACCATGCCTGACTAATTTTTGTATTTTTAGTAGAGATGGGGTTTCACCATGTTGGCCAGACTGGTCTTGACCTCAACTGATCCGCTTGCCTCAGCCTCCCAAAGGGCTGGGATTACAGGCGTAAGGTACCATGCTAGGCTCACACTTTCATTTGTAAACGTGCAATTATGTCGAAAGAACTCATTTAATACCTATTTCTTGTAAGAAATTTGTTCAACCATTTCTTCTTCCCAAAGAAGAAATCTCACCTTGAATTTATCATTTTATAAAAACAGAAAGAATGACAGTTAACCACTTAACAAATTATAAAATAATTTTACTATCTTTATTAGTTATTTGAATTAATTAGTTTTGGTCTCTACAAAATTAATAAATTAAGTTCCTTGTTTCTTTTTTCTTTTTCTACCATCATCTTGATCTTGAAGTTCCTTATTGTTTCTGCTGTTTAATCACATATCTGTATTTTTTTTTAATTATACTTTTTTCCTCCCTAAAATTTAGCTTTTAGGATTAAGTCATGTATTGTCAGCACCTCTACTCTTTGGGGAAATATTTTTGTTTTAGACCTTTGACATTTACTTCAATAATGTAATATTTAAATACTATTTTTACCGGGTTTTTTTTTCTTTTTTTGAAACGGAGTTTCGCTTTTGTTACCCAGGCTGGCGTGCAATGGCGCGATCTCGGCTCACCCAACCTCCGCCTCCTGGGTTCGGGCAATTCTCCTGCCTCAGCCTCCAGAGTAGCTGGGATTACAGGCACGCGCCACTGTGCCCAGCTAATTTTTTGTATTTTTAGTAGAGACGGGGTTTCACCATGTTGACCAGGATGGTCTCAATCTCTTGACCTCGTGATCCACCCGCCTTGGCCTCCCAAAGTGCTGGGATTACAGACATGAACCACCGCACCCAGCCCTATTTTTTACCAGTTTTATGCCAAGCTCTATATAGAAGATCTTTTATAGCACTTGGTGTGGAAATGGTAAAATCAGTTATACCTGATTTTCAATGTTTAATGATATTCAAAGAAGTGTAATAATGTTTTCCTTATTTTACCAGTTATCTGAATGGAGATTCACTGAGCTAAGAGAGCTGCTATACTGGACTTTGCCATGTCAACTTGCAAGGCAACACTGCTAGCTTCTCTCTCTCTACCTGGTTTTACTATGTAAATAGAAGGGCTTTTTCAGAAGCACCAGTACTCCTCACCCATCCACCACAGGCAGTTAATACATAGAAGACTGTAAGAAAAATGAAGAAGGAAAAACTCAGCTGATAGAGGAATATTATTAATTACTTCTAAACTAAATTATTACTGGGCTTGGATTAAGTTTATTCTACAGGCAGTGCCATGAGGAAAATAAGGCAAAACTACACTAACTGCCAGAGCAGACATGCTAAGAGAAAGTGATCAATTCCACTATAAACTGTCTTTTTGTATCATGCAGTCCTACAAGCTGGTGTTCTTCCATGTTTCTCCTCTTGATCGTGGCCTTGCCTAATACTCTTAAACTACTTTTTCTAAAACATAACTGTTATCTTAAAATATAAGTAATATAAACTATATGTTTGGCATTATTATATTCAACTTATAAAATGGGTCACAAATATACTTCTTGAAGAAGGTTAAACTGATCCTAGTTGCTTCCTCTAACTAACTTTTTGAGCCATAGGAGCTATTACAGTACTTTGGTTCTTACCATTTGGGCTTTATATTCTATCCCTCAATAAGCTTTTTTGTTATGACAATCCCAGCTCTAGTGACAGCCAGAAATAGTTAAATCAGAATAGGTGACTTTTAACAGATTCTATACATATGATGATTTTAAATCATCAGTATATATTTTTTACTAAAATTGTTACAACTGCTTACCTGGTACAATAATGTCTCCAAAACCCAATATTGAAACAGGCATGAGGCACACACTCATTACTGAGAAATAGGTCAGCTTTGGTACTCTGATGACTACTGGCAACTGTTCAAAAACAAAACAAAACAAAACAAAAAAGAGGCCACCAATGAACCTCTTAGCAATCTTTACCCATATCTTTCATTCATTTATTTTTTGGAGACAGAGTTGCACTCTGTCACCCAGGTGGAGTGCAGTGCTGAGATCTCAGCTCACTGCAAATGCAACCTCCACCTCCCGGATTCAAGCGATTCTCCTGCCTCAGCCTCTCAAGTGGCTGGGATTACAGGCATGAGCCACCATGCCCAGCTAATTTTTGTAGAGACGGGGTTTCACCATGTTGGCCAGGCTGGTCTTGAACTCCTGACCTCAGGCAATTCGCCTGCCTTGGCCTCCCAAAGGGCTGGGATTACAGGCATGAGCCACCATGCCTGGCCACCCATATCTTCTAGAAAGGGAATGATTAACATTAGAATAATTATTTTGACAGTTTAAAGGAACTTGAAATACTCTGTTTCTATTTCCAAAAGAAATAGATTAGTTTTGAAAAAATAAAACCCAACACACATGTAGGATTAACAGCATTAATCAACTATCCCCACATTTAACCTTTTTTTTTTCCTCTTTATCAAGAATAGAACTCAGGCCTTGAAACAGATTTTTTTTTTGGCAACCTGGATTTTTTTCCCCCAAAGAAGAGTCTTGTCTCAGAGGGTATGATTTAAAGTCCAATGAACATATCTGAAATACAATCCTTACTTTCTCATGGGGAGCTGAGGGTTGACCAGTGGCTTCCACCAAGTTTCCATCATTCTAGGATGAAACCCAAGTCAATAGGTATTTAATAATTTAGAATAACTAAGAAAAGAGCTATATTTTCTGAGAAATAAGTTTTACAATACCTTAACATGCACTACGTGACCAATGAATTACACAGGAAGGCAAACTATTAACTGGATACACATACATACACTGGACATTTCTATTTCATTGCCATCCCTACCTTTTCATTATTTCCAAAAGGTCCAGCTGCAAGTTCAACCATGATACTCTCACCATTCTAAAATTGAGAAGGAAGAGAAAGGAAGTTGTCTAATCATTTAAAGAGAACAATCTGCCACTATTCAAGTATGATTTAAGCCCCATGGCATATGGCCTACTGTACATTGACTGAAAATGAGCTACATACTGCCTTTTTCCTAAAAGTTTCTGTAGATAGCAAAAGCTGAAGTCATCTAAAATAAAGTTCACTGAGCACAGTTGTTCCTCTTTATCAGAGCTCAACAAGTCTCAGAAACTGGGAAATGAATCATGTAAAAATAATTCAAGTGAACCTTCAGTTCTGATTTGTACTGACATATTAATATCTGACATTTGTAATGGAATATAAATTTTAGGTTTATTACTTTTAGTTACATTATGTCATACACTATATGCTCTGAGTGGTTTTCAGCAATGTCAGTGAAGAAGGTCATATTAAAATCTTTTATATTTAGCTTTGTAAAAAATATTAGTAACTTTATTCGAATAAATATACATCTGACCTTCTGGCTACTCACCACAATAACAAAACAATAGAATCAAACTTGAAAAGACCCAACCCTATAGAACCTGAGAAGCTTCTCCAGTCTAACTTTTATCCAATTTCAGCCCTGCCTGCTTTCTTATGATCCAATCAAAACATTAACCTCAGCTAAATTTCCCTCCCTTGTGTCTGGATAAAGACTTTCATGTGGGCTGTGTGAGGGGTTCATTTAAAAAAATGTTCCTGATAGCCAAGTCTGTTGTGGAGAGGGAAAACATTGTAAGGTAGCAAGCTAAGATTGCATAAACTACTCATTTTATGTTTCATATTATGATAAACAGCAAAACAGGTACAGGGAAGATAAATCCTGAATTTCAACAAAATTTGATTGACTATAATATTTTCCATGTGGGTGGGGTGCACAGAATAAACCACTTGAGTGTTTTTAAAACAACCTCATTGATTGCTGAACTGAGTAGAAAGTAGGGGTTTTATAAAAACCCCTAGCTGCAGAAATCTCATGTTAAGCTTTGGGTTATAGAAGGGTTAAGACAAAGGAGTTTAGGAAAACAAACATACTAAGTAGAATTCTTTAAAGCAGATTCCCAGGTTGTGACAACATTTCCAGATAAAGAGTTCATTTTGGTTCACTTTCCAATTGTTACTTAAAACATTTAACTGAAGACCATCGTTGACATTCTCCCATACATTTAAAGATACCTGAATAACTACTGTTTGTAAGACACAATACTGAGCACAGTGGTGAATGGAAAAAAATAAGACAGGCTCTCACTGCTGTACTCTTATGGTGACCTGCCTTGCCAACTCACTAGAAGGCAACAAATACGTGGGTCAAAAACATGTTTACAATATGCAATATTTTATTGAATTTACAGTGAAAACCAGGGAAATCAGCAATATCTGATTTTGAGTTGCCTACTAAAGTAAGGTCTGCTGCCTTAATAAAAACAAACAAATCAAACTGAGAAGAAGATATTAAAGTAAATCTACTGCAGTGAACTCCAAAGAGCACTTAGCTTTTTTCACCATTTCAGGTTGCTAGAAATCATTTTTCTAGTCTGTAGGAACTAAGACAGAAATAATTTCCTAAAATGAAAAATTTCTTAAGCACAAAAGAAAGAAGGCTATAAGATACCTTTACTATTATCCTACCTTTAGAATTCTGAAACATTCTATGTATAAGGGAATGCAAATGGTTTGCTGGCAGATATGTTTATCTACAAAGTGATAGTAGTGTTAGAATGGAAAAGTCATTTTAAAAAATAGTTTAGTTACAGTTTACAGCTATATCTACTGTGTAATATACGTGTCATATGTTATGGACTATCTGTTGATTTATGGAAATGGCTTTGTAGAGGGAACATTTCACTTTTGTTATAAGATCTTTGATGGGATATCCTACAAAAACACATTTTTGAACCAAGTTTAAAATGCCCTAATAAATAAACAATTTTATTTTATTGTTTGAGACGGAGTCTCACTCTGTTGCCTAGCCTGGAGTGTAGTGGTGCAATCTTGGCTCACTGTAACCTCCACCTCCAGGGTTCAAGTGATCTTCCTATCTCAGTCTCCCAAGTAGCTAGGTCTACAGGTACGCATCACCACACTTGGCTAATTATTATTTTTTATTTATTTTATTTTATTTTTTGAGATGGAGTCTTGCTCTGTTACTTAGGTTGAAGTGCAGTGGCACAATTTTGGCTCACTGCAACCTTTGCCTCCTGAGTTCAAGTGATTCTCCTGCCTCAGCCCCCCAAGTAGCTGGGATTACAGGTGCCCACCACTGCACACGGCTAATATTTGTCTTTTTGGTGGAGATGGGGTTTCACCATGTTGGCTAGGCTGGTCTCATACTCCTGACCTCAAGGGACCCATCCTCCTTGACCTCCCAAAGTGCTGGGATTACAGGCATGAGCCACCGTGCCCGGTCTCTAAATTATTGTATTTTTAGTACAGACAGAGTTTCACCATGTTGGCCAGGTTGGTCTCAAATCCCTGACCTCAAGTATCTACCGGCCTGCACTCCCAAAGTGCTGGGATTACAGGTGTGAGCCACCACACCTGGCCAAATTAACAAGTTTAGTTATAACCCATAATACTAGTTCTATGAATTATTTTTTTAGGTTACTATTGTTCAGTGAAGTCAGTGAATCAAATGGCTCATCATTAAGTGTCAGAAAAGTGCTAGTAAAATGGTTTGGTTATGACAGGCATGGTGGTTTACGCTTGTAAATCCTAGCACTTTGGGAGGCTGAGGCAGAAGGATCTCTGGAACTCAAGAGTTTGAGACCAGTCTGGGCAATATGGTAAACCCCATCTTGATAAAAAATACAAAAATTGGCTGGGTGTGGTGGTATGCCCCTGTAGTATCAGCTATTTGGGAGGCTGAGGTGGGAGGATCACGTGGGCCTGAGGAAGTTAAGCCTGCAGTAAGTCATAATTGAGCCACTGCACTCCAGCTTGGGTGGCAGATCAAAACCCTGATTCAAAAAAGAAAAAAAAAGGTTTGGTTGGTTAGCTGTATTTTGGGGCAGTTGATTATATTCGTCACCTATTACAATTTTATCTCCCCAACAGGGTACAGTTTGTCTTTATGCCATTATAGCAAATATCAGAAGTGCAGATTTTTACAGTGATTTCATAGGTGGTAGGTTTAATGAATGGGTAAAGAAGGCATGAGGCCAGGCGTCACGGCTTATGCCTATAATCCCAATACTTTGGGAAGCCAAGGTGGGAGGACTGCTTTAGCCCAGGAGTTTGAGGCTGCAGTGAATCAGGATTGTGCCATTGCACTTCAGCCTCAAGACTCACCCTTAAAAAAAAAGAAGGAATGAGGAGTAAAGTAGAGAATATCATATACTTAAACATGTGAGAGTGACAAAGGATAAAATAAAGTTACAAAGAAAGACTCAAAATGGGAGAAAGTGGGGGAATTAAGCAATAGTTAATAATATTATATTCATGAGACAGGAAAAAGATCAAGGTAGAAAAACTGGACAAATAATTAAGGACCACCATGCTCCCCCAACACCTCTCCTCATTTTACTGAAGAACTAGTGGCAGACCTGGGAATATATGATTAGGAGCTGCCAGTTGCTGATTCTAACTTCATGGAAAAAGCCAGTCTGAGAGAATGAACAAATGGACAGAAGCAAAAAAGGGACAGTATGTGGCCTTGGGTCTAGTTTCTCTTGATGCCAGCCCATGCTGGCCTACAAACACAGTCTAGATAAATGGGACTTTTTGGGTACAGAAGGCTTAGGTTGGGTTCTGTTAGTTGGAACCAAAAGAATTTCTACTGAAGTGGGTGGGAGGATGAACAGCTAGCAATACTCCCTCATACAATGGATTAGTAAATGGAAGCAGAAAGGGCTAAGTAAACTTGCCTATGGCTGCAGGGTTGCAAAGCTACATTCTAGGCCTTCCGATTTCTAGTGTGCTGCTCTTTCTTAGTCTCAAACTAAGGCTTCAGAAATGATATTTTACTTTTTTTTTTACTGTCTATATTGCATACAGTAAACATTTAGCTCATAAGAAAAATTACTTTAAAAAGGGAAGAAAATTACAGACATTCTCATATTTGTACTAGTCAAAAGACATTTTAAAAATCTAACAAAATGATTAAAGACTTGAAAATTAAAAGGCCAATTTCAATGACAATTCTCTTAAGAGAATTAGAACTCAGTGGTAAACATCTGCAAAATTAATAATCTAGGAGCAGACTTAAGATTCATACTTTTTTTTGTTTCTTCATGAATTTCAAAAATATGGTCATACCTTTGTGATGAATGGTGTTATGAAAACAAAAAATACATCATAGAGAAGGAGAAGGCCTAGAAGTATCACACATGACTGTTGAAGAAAGAAACAAAATTAAAGGTCAATCTTCCTATATGTAAATTAAGACATTAAATTTTTTTTCAACTGCAAATAAACATATGAATGTACATTTGAATATTATTTTTAAAAAGACATCTTATGGTTAATACTATGTGTAGTTTTATTCTATGTATTAAAACCCTTATCTTCTTTATCTTGTTGTTTTTTATTTTTTATTTTTTAAATTGCATTTTAGGTTTTGGGGGTCTTTATCTTGTTTTTTAAAAAAATCACCGAACCAAAGAAATGTGCTAGGCTAGGTGCAGTGGCTCACGCGTATAATCCCAGCACTTTGGGAGGCCGAGGCGGGCAGATCACGAGGCCGAGGCGGGCGGATCACAAAGTCAAGAGATCCTGGCCAACATAGTGAAACCCCGTCTCTACTAAAAACACAAAAAAATTAACTGGGCGTGGTGGCACGTGCCTGTAGTCCCAGCTACTCGGGAGGCTGAGGCAAGAGAATTGCTTGAACCCGGGAGGCGAAGGTTGCCAGTGAGCCGAGGTCGCGCCACTGCACTCCAGCCTGGCGCCTGGTGACAGAATCAGAATCTGTCTCAAAAAAAAAAAAAGAAATGTGCTTCTCTGATATTAAGTTGTGTTAAGGATTTTATGAATGTGGCATAGTGTATGAGTGATTAAAAATATTTTAGGCAGGGTGCAGCAGCTCATGCCTGCATCCCAGCACTTTGGGAGGCCAAGTCAGGAGGACACTTGAGGCTAGCAGTTTGAGAACAGCAGCACAGCAAGACCTCCATCTCTATAAAAACAAACAAAAACATTTAGCTAAAATAATGCGTACACATGGATAAGAGTGAGGAATAATAGGCACTGGATACTCGGCATGGTTGTAGGGTTAGAAGGAGTAAGGAATGAGAAATTACTCATTGGGGACAACACACATTTGTCGAGCGACGGCTATACTATAATCCCACATTTCACCGCTACCCAATATATCCATGTAACAAAACTACACTTGAACCCCTTACATTTATCAAGTAAAAGAAAGGAAAAAAAAAACTATAATCGTTTAGCCAGGCAAATCAGCGGTTGTCTGGGCCTGGGAGTTAGGACTGATTGCAAAGGCCATGGTAGAACTTTTGGAAGAGATGAGAAATGTTCTACAACTTCACTAGCATAGTGGTTATAAAGGTACACGTTCATAAAATTTCCATAAACAGTACACTGAAAATTGGTGCATTTAATTGTATGTAAATTATGTTTAATAAAGTTGTCTTTTAAAAATTTATTTTAACTAGCAAAGTAGTATCGTATACATTACCTTGAAGTTGGGCAACTTCAGTGTTTTAATTAAATTCAGACAGAAAGCAATCCCCAAGATATCCTGTAAAATCCAAGCCCACCTAAAAATCAAAAGATATTACTCTATTGCTTTATCAATTTTTAGATGAAGCTTTTCAAAAGACATAGATCACTAAGGTAATATTGTTTAATTGCTATGATTTGACTATTCCATATATATTTTTTGAGACAGCATCTTACTCTGTCACCCAGACTGGAGTAAAGTGGTGCGATCTGAGCTCACTGCAATGTCTGCCTCCTGGGTTCGAGCAATTTTTGTGCCTCAGCCTCTGGAGTAGCTGGGACTACAGGCATGCACCATCATGCCTGGCTGATTTTTGACTATTTAATTATTAAACAGCAAGCATAACAACAAAACCCCTCATATATTCCATTTTTGGTAATTTTACTGTCCTAGTAGAATAATGGATATTATTATTACTATTTTTTTTTTTCTGAGACAGAGTCTCACTCCATCACCAGGCGCCAGGCTGGAGTGCAGTGGCACGACCTTGGCTCACTGCAACCTCTGCCTCCCGGGTTCAAGCAATTTTCCTGCATCAGCCTCCTGAGTAGCTAGGACTACAGGCACGCACCACCACGCCCAGCTAATTGTTTTGTGCTTTTAGTAGAGAAGGAGTTTCATCATGTTGGCCAGAATGGTCTCAATCTCTTAACCTCATGATCCGCCCACCTCGTCCTCCCAAAGTGCTGGGATTATAGGCATGAGTCACTGTGCCCGGCCATGAGTATTATTATACTAAGCAATAGTGAAAAGGCTACCTCAGAAGAACATATATCAGACATATAAGTGAGTATTTATCTTTAACCTTTTAACTTATTATTTTTTTATTTTTAAAGGCGAGGTTTCACCATGTTGGTCAGGCTGATCTTGAACTCCTGACCTCAGGTGATCCTCCCGTCTTGTCCTCCAAAGTGCTTGGATTACAGGCGTGAGCCACCATGCCCGGCCTAACCTTTTAACTTATACAGATGTCTCATTCTAGAAAACGGCTGTGAACAAAAGATTATCAGTGTTAACACAGATCCAAATAGCTTGAATATAAAGAATACAAGAGCTGATGGCGGTAGCTCACGTCTGTAATCTCAGCACTTTGGAAGGCCAAGGTGGGCGGATCATGAGGTCAGGAGTTCAAGATCAGCCTGACCAACATGGTGAAACCCATCTCAACTAGAAATACAAAAATTAGCCCAGCATGGTGGCAGGCACCTGTAATCCCAGCTACTCAGGAGGCTGAGGCAGGAGAATGGCTTGAAACTGGGAGGAGGTTGCAATGAGCCAAGATTGAGCTACTGTACCAGCATGAGTGACAGAGTGATACTTTGTCTCAAAAAAAAAGAAAAGAAGAGCTATGCAACCACTTATTCCATCAGAAACTGACATGAACATTATCCATTGATTATTCTACTTGAAGCTACATAAAGTTGTATGAGCTTTGTTTCTAAAACTTTCGGCCATTAAATCCTTTCAGTCTTCAATAGTTTTATTAATAAAGCATTATATAAACTTAAGTATATATCTTTTTCTGGTTGTCTTCCTGCAAATGAATAGATATCTGTATATTTTCTTATATTCCCTTCTTTCTTTCATAAAAGACAGCATACTCTCTATATATTTTTGCACTTTGCTTTTTTTCACTTAAAAAAAATACCAATATCAAATCAAAGGGGATTAAAGACTTAAATCTAAGACATGAAACTACTAGACAAAAACATTGGGGAAATGTTCCAGGACATTGGTCTTGGCTAAGATTTCTTGAGTAAGACTCCAAAAGCATAGACAACCAAAGCAAAAATGGACAAATGGAATCAAATCAAGCTTTTGCATAGCAAAGGAAGAGACAACCCACAAAATGAAAAAAGAATCTGCAAATTACCCATCTGACAAGGGATTAATAACCAGAATATATAAGGAGCTCATACAACTCAATAGGAAAAAAACAAATAACCTGATTAAAAATTGGGCAAAATATCTGAATAGGTATTTCTCCAAAGATATACAAATGACCAACAGATATATGAAAAAATGCTCAAGATTTCCAATCAGATGAAATCTGGTTGCAGTCAGAGAAATGTAAATCAAAACTACAATGAGATACCATCTTATTCCAGAGTGCTATAAGGATGTGGGAAAAGGATGTGGGAAACCTTGTACACTGTTGGTGGGAATTAGTACAGCCACTATGAAGAACAGTATAGAAATCCCTCAAGAAACGGAAATCAGAACTACCATATTATCCAGCAATCCCACCACTGGATATACATCCAAAATAAATGAAATCAGTATTATCAAAGACATATCTGAACTCTCAGGTTTACTGTAGCACTATTCACAATAGCAAAGATATGGAATCAACCTAAGTGTTCATCAGTGAATAAACAGATAAAGGAAATTATACATACATACAAAATTATACACAAACACAATGGAATATTATTCGGCCACAAAAAAGAATGAAGTCTTGTCATTTGCAAAAACATGGCTGGAACTGGAAGACATCATGTTAAGTGAAATAAACCTAGTACAGAAAGACAAAAACTGCATGTTCTCACTCATAGTGGGAGCTAAAATTAAGAAAATAAAAATAAAAAATTGAACTCATGGAGATAGTAGAATGATGGCTACCAGGGGCTAAAAACAGGTAGAGGGTGGGGGTAGTAAAGATGGTTAATAGGTATAAAAATAGAGTTAAATAAAATAAATAAGATCTAGTGTTTGATAGTATAGTAAGGTGATACAGTTAATAATAACTTATTGTATATCGTACAATAACTAAAAGAGTGAAATTGGAATGTTCCCAACACAAAGAAATGATAAAGGTTTGAGGTGATGGATACCACAATTACCCTGATCTGATCATTACACATTGTATGCCTGTATCAAAACATCACATATATCCCATAAATATATATACTTATGTTCCCATAATAATCAAAGTTAAAAATAAAGTATAGATTGTCCTCTTTTGCACTTTATATATCATTGAGTATGTTCTCTTTTGTTTCTGATGACTTTGACTTAGCATTACGTCTGAGATTCATTCATCCTTGTGCATATGGTATATGGCTTGCTTACTGGTGAACAGTATTCCATGGTGTTAATATAACATAATGTATTTATCCATTCAAGGTTTGATGACATTTGGATTGTTTCTACACTCACTTTCTCTCTCTTTGTGTCTCTCTCTCTTCTGGAACTGGTTGCAAATCAGTTCTAGAGATCTTCACTGTTTAGAGCTGCATTGAGCTCTACTGTGTGGCTATACCATAATTAAGTATATTATTAAAGTCTATTTCAGTGTAGGTGTTGAAATCATAATTCATATTTCCTTCTCTATATGCATTCAAATGCATTAGCATAAGATCTGCTTACTTTAAAAGTAGTTTATTACAAGAATGATATTCTGGCACAGAAGTAAATAAAAAAATTCCATAATAATCATAATGAATAAGTATCAGGGAAAGATATGAAACAATTCATCCTTAATCTAAAAGCAAATATATTGAGTATTCATACCTGTCTTCATTTCGAAACACAGCCCAAACAACAGCTACTGCTATGCATAGTACAGCGAGAAAAATAAGTCTCACTTCCATGCTTTTGCCACGACACACAATCCTAAAAAAGCAAATTGAAATAGTTAACACTGCAGATGAAGTACAATGTTCACTTGATATAAGAAGTGGCAAATGTTAACCACAGTCATAAGAAGTGACTAAAATACCAATTTAGAAGTCTTGATTTTAAGTAAAACAAATGACATAATAAAATGTTTATAAGTCTAATATAATTTTCCATGATGATGAAAATGTACTATATCTGTGCTGTACAATATGGTAGCTATTGCCACATGTGGCTATTGAGTACTTGAAATGTGGCTAATGAGAATGAAAAACTCAATTTTTAATTTTATTTAATTTTACTTAAATTTAAATTTAAACACCTATAGGTCCAGTGTGTATCAGACTGCATACTTTTCAAATAATACTTCTACTTTTTCTTGTAATGTTTTAAATTATAAATACCAACATCGTAAGATTTTCTGTAAGAGATACGTACGTGCATTGTCCATACGGTATCTTCCGAATTAGTGCAGCCAGACAGTTGTACAGACTCATTGCTGATGCTATGCAGAAAATTGCTATCATAACATAAACTAGAAAAAAACAAAACACTAAATTACATGAGAACAGAAAGAAAGGTGATAAGAAAATATGTATATAAGCAATATTACTTCTTTAGCTTTCTTTATTGAATCATACTTCCAGAGAAGTGACTATACTATGACCTGAATTACTTACTAAGCTGAAATTTAGATCTTGAGGTTTTTTTTTTTTTTTTGAGAAAGAGTCTTGCCCAGTCGTCCAGTCGCCCAGGCCGGAGTGCAGTGGCGTGATCTCGGTTCACTGCAACCTTCGCCTCCTGAGTTCAAGCGATTCTCCTGCCTCAGTCTCTTGAGTAGCTGGGACTACAGGCATGCATCACCACATTCGGCCAACTTTTGTAGTTTTAGTAGAGATGGAGTTTTCCCATGCTGTCCCTGCTGGTCTCAAACCCTGGACCTCAATGATCCACCCGCCTTGGCCTCCCAAAATGCTGGGATTACAGGTGTGAGCCAACCGTCTTCTTTTTAAATAATGAAAAATTTAAGGAAATTTCTCATCAAAAATTAAAATATGGTTTTGGGTAAAGGGCTCTCTTTTCTTTATCAATGACTACTATCAACTGAGAGTTGGTAACAAATTAATGTGAAGGAGTATTAATAAAATCATCTGTTTGATGCCAACATAATACAAATATCATCCTAGTACTCGCTCTATCAGCAACAGGTTGAAATGAGTGATATTCACAAAATGAGGTTTTTTTTAAATTTATTTTTGAGATGGAGTCTCACTCTGTCACCTAGGCTGGAGTGCAATGGTGCGATCTTGGCTAGCCATAACCTCCGCCTTCCCAGCTCAAGCAATTCTCCTGCCTCAGCCTCCCATCATGTTGGCAAGGCTAGTCTTGAACCCCTGCTCTCAAGTGATCCACGAACCTTGGCTTCCCAAAGTGCTGGGATTACAGGCGAGAGCCACCACATCAAGCCAGAATGAGTTCTTTCAAATTAAAAAATACACACCATAAGCCAGTGGCTCATGCCTGCAATCCCAGCACTTTGGGAGGCCGAGGCAGGCTGATTACCTGAGGTCAGGACTTTGAGACCAGTCTGGTCAACATGGTGAAACCCCATCTCTACCAGAAATACAAAAATTAGCTGGGCATAGTGGCAGATGCCTATAATCCCAGCTTCTTGGGAGGCTGAAGCAAGAGAATCATTTGAACTCTGGAGGCAAAGGTTGCGGTGAGCTGAGATTGCACCATTTGCACTCCAGCATGGGTAACAAGAGCAGGACTCCTGCTCAATAAATAAATAAATAAATAAATAAAATATAAATACAAATATTAGCTGGGCATGGTCGCATGCACCTGTAGTCCCAGCTACTCAGGAGGCTGAGGCAGGAGAATGGCTTGAATGTGGGAGGCACAGGTTGCAGTGAGCCCCGGTTGTACCACTGCACTCCTGCCTGGGTGACAGAGCAGAGCAAGACTCTGTCTCAAAAAACAAACAAACAAACCAAAAAAAGATGTCATAGGTATAGTTTTTAAAATGCTGTCACAGGACAAGAGAAACTGAACAAAAACTGAATGAAACAAATCCTAGGGCCTAGTTTTCTAAACCAGAAATTTATGCTAATGCTATACACATAAGCATGGTAGCCTTTAGTGGCTCTTAAACGGGCTTTTTGCTAGTTCTTATCAGGTACACTCCTTTTTCCCTGGTTTCCCTTCTCTTTGTGCTGTATACTGTCCCGGGATGGCAAATTTTCATTATGTTAGACTATTAATAAGACTGTTCAGGGATGGACAAGCCATTACAGTTCCTACTCCCACTTTCTTCAAGGAAATAAAGCTACTACTCTCTAGATCACAGGGAAGTACCTGTGTGTCTTCAGATATAATATGATCCTAACTGCCTATATAAGCAAAATAAAATTCAAGCAATAAAACACCTTTATTTGCAAACTGCTATACTTTGGGAGTTATGTAGAGGCAATACAACATAATTTGAATAATATTCTATTTCATATAACTAAACACAGCCACCAAGAACCCCTTAGTTCACTGCTTAGATGGTGAGCTATATCATTCTTCATCTACAGAGAGAAAAACTTAGGGCCCATGGCAATTATTTCAAGTCATCCATGAAGAAGTGTTCTCATCTGAAAACAGAGAGTATTTTTAATCTGAGTATTTTTATCTCAGAGTAACAGAGACCTAACACTCTGACAATTAAAAAAAATACATTAATAAAATTATATACATAAGTTTTCCAGGTAGAATGGCTAAAAGGAAAAGATAAATCTAGTATTAATCAATGAAAAGAATGTATGTTAATAATAGCAAACATAAAACATGACTTCTTACCCAACCATTTGTAGAAGAAATAAAGTAAGACCATCATAACACAGCAGACGACCACAAATATCACAACTGTAAGAGGACCAAATGTTAGATATTCTTCCTTCTTTTTCCTCATTTCTCTACCTTCAGTTGTCACTCCTTTCAAGTTTTCCCTGTATAAACACACAAGAACTTTAGCAAATCTTAGCCAAGCATAGTTATTTAAAAAATCTCTCTCTAATACCAATTTAGTTTCTGATTAAGAAAGCAATGTATTTTTATTTATCGAAATATTTTTTATTATTTTTCTAGGATATCTTGTATTTTTTTTTTTTTTTTTTTGAGACAGAGCTTCGCTCTTGTTGTCCAGGCTGCAGTACAATGGTGCGATCTTGGCTCACCGCAACCTCCACCTCCCAGGTTCAAGTGATTCTCCTGTCTCAGTCTCCTGAATAGCTGGGATTACAGGCATGTGCCACCTCGCCTGGCTAATTTTGTATTTTTAATATAGATGGAGTTTCTCCATGTTGGTCAGGCTGGTCTTGAACTCCCGACTTCAGGTGATCTGCCCGCCTTGGCCTCCCAAAGTGCTGGGAGCCACTGCACCCAGGCTAAGATATCTTGTTATAAGAACTAATGTACTTTTTAAAAACAGCACCCCAAAAAGAAATATTTAATCTAGGCTGGATGCGGTGGCTCACACCTGTAATCCCAGCACTTTGGGAGGCCGAGGCAGGTAGATCACCTGAGGTCAGGATTTCGAGACCAGCCTAACTAGTATGGTGAAACTCTATCTTTATTAAAATTACAAAAATGAGCCAGGCATGGTGGTGTGCACCTGTTAGTAGTAGTCCCAACCACTCGGGAGGCTGAGACAGAATTGCTTGAGCCCAGGAGGCGAAGGCTGCAGTGAGCCGAGATCGCGTCACTGCATTCCAGCCTGGGTGACAGCGCAAGACTCTGTCTCAATTAAAAAAAAAAAATTAATCTAGAAACTAAAAACCCCATAAGTACTATCCTCCAGAGATGATCTGTTTCTAACAACTAACTTTTAAAACATTTTTTTCTGCAGGTAAAATTGTTGAAAGAGATATTCATTATATAAACAAATTAATATTTGTAGATGTTTACATTATCTAATTTGAAAATTATATTGACATAATAAATTTCAAACTAAAGCCAATGCTTCTTACAAACTTACTATTATCGACTTACAGATAGTGAAGTACTTCTAAAAGTAGCTTCTCTTTTTTTTTTTTTTTTTTTTTGAGAAAGAGTCCTGCTCTGTTGCCCAGGCTGGAGGGCAGTGATGAGATCTCAGCTAAATGCAAGCTCTGCCTCCTGGGTTTAAGGGATTCTCCTGCCGCAGCCTCCCAAGTAGGTGGTACCACAGGCGCATGCCACCATACCAGGTAATTGTTTTTTATTTTTATTTTTTTGAGACGATGTCTCGCTCTGTCGCCAGGCTGGAGTGCAATGGCACAATCTCGGCTCACTGCAACCTCCACTCACTGTAACTTCTGCCTCTGGATTTAAGTGATTCTTCCACCTCAGCCTCCCAAATAGCTGAGACTACAGGTGTGCACCAACATGACTGACTAATTTCTTTATATTTTTTTAGCAGAGACGGGGTTTCACCATGTTAGCCAGGATGGTCTCCATCTCTTGACCTCGTGATCCGCCTGCCTCGGCCTCCCAAAGTTCTGGGATGACAGACGTGAGCCACCGTGCCCAGCCCAGTTTATTCCTTTCAAACTGCATATTTGCCAACTGTGTACCAACAAGCCACTTTCTTATTAGAAAAATGTTGGCTGAGATGGCCACCATATTAAGCATCTGGGAAAAGAGCAAGGAGAGAGTTGATGGAGACATACTAGCACCTCCCCTAAAACTCTAGAGCTGAATGACAGGGTATTAAATTTCTATAAATGTGGGACCTGAGTGTAAAAAGGTGCTGATTTTGGTATCTGTCACTGCAGAGATATATTTAAAGATACTTTTTTTTGTCACAATACACCTATAAGGCGTAATAATTAAAGATTTATATATTTATAGTCATCAGACTAAAAAGCACAGGCAATTTCTTGAAAGAAAGCATGCAGAGTATTAGATTTACATCACATTAAAATATTATAATTCTGCCAGGCATAATGGCTCACACTTGTAAACCCAGGACTTCTGGAGGCTAAGGTGGGTGGTTCAGGAGGATCTTGAGGTCAGGAGTTCAGACCAGCCTGGCCAACAAGGTGAAACTCCATCTCCATTAAAAATATGAAAATTAGCCAGGTGTGGTAGCGCAGGCCTGTAATCCCAGCTAGTTGGGAGGCTGAGGCAGCAAAATCGCTTGAACATGGGAGGCAGAGATTTCGGTGAATAAAGATGGCACGCCACTGCACTCCAGCCTGGGTGAGAGTGAGACTCCATCTTAAAAAAAGTAAGTTGGGCTTAAAAAAAAATTACATTTCATCTTTTTTGGATAAAAAAACTACTTTCATATCAGCTTGAGAGCCATATGCAATACGAACCTAAGCTTGACCATTGACCTTATTATGAAAAGATTGTGCTGGGTGCGGTGGCTCACACCTGCAACCCCAGCACTTTGGGAGGCCGAGGCAGGCAGATCACAACGTCAGGAGATTGAGACCATCCTGGCCAACATGGTGAAACCCCACCTCTACTAAAATACAAAAAATTAGCCGGGCATGGTCGCTCGTGCCTGTAGTCCCAGCTACGTGGGAGGCTTAGGTAGGGGAATCACGTGAATTCAGGAGGCAGGGGTTGCAGTGAGCTGAGATTGTGCCACTGTACTCCAGCCTGGCTGACAGAGCAAGACTCCGTCTCAAAAAAAACAACAACAACAACAAAAAAGATTTTAGGCTGGGTGTGGTGGCTCATGCCTGTAATCCCAGCACTTTGGGAGGCCTCATCACCTGAGGTCAGGGGTTCAAGACCAGCCTGGCCAACATGGTGAAACCCCATCTCTATTAATAATACAAAAATTAGCTGGGTGTGGTGGTGCATGCCTGTAATCCCAGCTACTCAGGAGGCTGAGGCAGAAGAATTGCTTGAACCCAGGAGGCAGAGGCTGTAGTGAACCGAGATGGTGCCAGTACACTCCAGCCTGGGCGACAAGAGTGAAACTCCATCTCAAAAAAAAAAAAAGTTAACACTCTGCTGAAAAGTCTTTCCCTAGAACCCAGGCATCTATCCCTTCTGCTTAAGGTACATCTTTCACTTCGTAGAGTAATTTTGGGTTGTGAGGCCCTGTTCTGGCAAGTCTTCCCTTCCCTAAGCCTTATTCTCTTTCCATCCAATTGTCTTTACTTGCTAAATGATGCACCTTATGTTTGTAATAATTCTTCTTATGGAACTTTTTCCTTTATATCACTGATTCATATTCTCTTTCTCCATATGATCACCACCCCCTTGTCCTCCCACATATACTTACTTCTCTCTATCTTTATTTTGCTCTTAGAATCAGCCCCCTCAATTTTAAAACCCATGATCCTGCAGGTATGGGACATTTCCTTTCCCAGTCTGGTTACTGAAGGCAACAAATTACTTGTTTCTGCTCTATCATCACGTTTTACCAATAAAAAAGCTGGTATGTATTCTCCTCCAATTTCCAATTTTCTCAAGGAGGAGCTTGTCCTAGCATGTATATAAAAAAGCTTGCCAGCCGGGCATGGTGGCTCATGCCTGTAATCCAGGTATTTTGGGAGGCCGAGGCGGGCAGATCACTAGGTCAAGAGATCGAGACCATCCTGGCCATGGTGGAACCCTGTCTCTACTAAAAATACAAATGTTAGCCAAGCATGGTGGCATGCCTCTGTGGTCCCAGCTACTTGGGAGGCTGAGGCGGAAGAACCACTTGAACCCAGGAGACGGAGGTTGCAGTGAGCCGAGACTGTGCCACTGCATTCCAGCCTGGCAACAGTGCAAGACTCCGTCTCAAAAAAAAAAAAACCAAAACCTTGCCTTGCTAAACTCAAAATGTGGTTCATGGGCAAGCAAAATCACTTGGGAACTTGTTAAAAATGCAGAAATCAGGCCGGGCACAGTGGCTCAATCCTGTAATCCCAGCACTTTGGAAGGCTGAGGCAGGTGGATTACCTGAGGTCAGGAGTTCAAGACCAGCCTGGCCAACATGGCAAAACCCCATCTCTACTAAGAAATCTCTACTAAAAAAATAAAAATAAAAAAAATTAGCTGGGTGTGGTGACTCACATCTGTAATTCCAGCTACTTGAGAGGCTGAGGCAGGAGAATCGCTTCAACCTGGGAGGCGGAGGGTGCAGTGAGTTGAGATGGTGCCATTGCACTGCAGCCTGGGCGACACAATGAGACTTCATCTCAAAAAACAAAAAATAAAGATTAATAATGAAGAACAAAAACATGATTACTCATATAAAAGATGTGACTGATATATGTTGAAACATGCTTTCCAAATATGTAAAATGTTTACAGCTCAACATTCCAGGAACCTACACTGGTTAAACTCTAAAATTTCCCTCTTGATGTAAGTCAGTCAAATTTTAGTATTTAAGAAATTACAAATAACCCTAGCTTCAGTTAGTTACAAATAAGACCTTTCAAATGGAAGCTATACAACAATTCACAAGGGAAATATATTCTGCCCTTCATACATGAAATCATATGCTCTGGGCACATTTTTTTCTTTTGTTTTTCATTGTGAGTTATGAATATACATTGACTCTTCTATAGTATGTTGCCTATTTTAATTTAGAGCCAAAGGTACAAAACTGCAGGGAGACCAAGTTCAGGTTACTATTAAATAGGAAAATCCAAATTTTATGTACATATGAAATTTCTATATTTAAATTAAAATATGACATGCTTTAAAATTTTAATTAATCTGGCCGGGTGCGGTGGCTCATGCCTGTAATCCCAGCACTTTGGGAGGCCGAGGTGGGTGGATTACGAGGTCAAGAGATTGAGACCATCCTGGTCAACATGGTGAAACCCGTCTCTACTAAAAATACAAAAATTAGCTGGGCATGGGTGGTGCACGCCTGTAGTCCTAGCTGCTCTGGAGGCTGAGGCAGGAGAATTGCTTGAACCCAGGAGGCGGAAGTTGCGGTGAGCCGAGACTGCGCCATTGTATTACAGCCTGGGTAACAAGAGGGAAACTCTGTCTCAAAATAAATTAAAAAAAAAACTTTAAATTAATCTTCATGCTATAGATTTTTCCTCTAGCTGAATAATTTTGGCCATTTGAGTCTTTTTGTTTAAATTGGCAGAAATTTGAAATCTTTGGCTATTCAGGAAATTAAGATTACAGATGCTTTGGGCCCCCACAAATAGTACATTACATCATTATTCACTTTAGCCGCAGATATGGTTATGGAGATAGTAGGGTTAGAAGTTTGTAGAGGGTAATTTGAAAGATAATTTATTATAACTCATTTCCCCTAATCTGCATACATTAGAACTAATTTGAATAAAACTTATAAAGTATATAGAAAGCATTTAAAGCTATTGTTGGAGAAGAAGGAGGATATACAGATTCAGTTGGATTGCATTTTACTTTTCAATGCATGAATTTATGGCAAACAATGCAGTTTGTGGTTTATTCATTTCTTTCAATAAAAATACTTAGAAAATATAATTTTTGTTTTTATTTTTTGTTTTGGAGATGGAGTCTCCCTCTGTTGCCCAGGCTGGAGTGCAGTGGCACGATCTTGGCTCACTGCACCTTCCACCTCCTGGGTTCAAGTGATTCTCCTGCCTTTAGCCAGGTGTGGTGGTGTGTGCCTATAGTAGCTGAAACCATCACACCTGGCTAAATCTTTGTATTTTTAGTACAGATGGGGTTACAACATGTTGGCCAGGCTGGTCATGAACTCCTGACCTCAGGTCACCACCCACCTCAGCCTCCCAAAGAGCTAGGATTACAGGTGTGAGCCACCACATCCAGCTGAGATAGGGTTTCACCATGTTGCCCAGGCTGGTCTTCAACTCCTGGGCTCAAGTGAACCGCCCACCTTGACTTCCCAAAGGACTGGGGTTACAGGCATGAGTCACTGCACCTGGCTTTTTTTTTTTTTTTTTTTGAGCTAGGGTCTCTCTTTGTTGCCCAGGTTGGACTGCTGGAACTCCAGGGATCAAGCAATCATTCTACCTCCACCTCTGAGCAGCTGGGGTTAGAGGTGTGTGCCACTATGCCTGGCTAATTTTTTTATTTTTAGTAGAAATGAGGTCTCACTATGTTGCCAAGGTTAGAAAATATAAGTTTTAGGCCGAGCATGGTGGCTCACGCCTGTTATCCCAGCACTTTGGGAGGCCGAGGCAGGAGGATCACCTGAGGTCAGGAGTTCGAGAACAGCCTGGCTAACATGGTGAAACCTCATCTCTACTAGAAATACAAAAATTAGCCAGGCATGGTGTCAGACACCTGTAATCCCAGCTACTCGGAAGGCTGAGGCAGGAGAATTGCTTGAACCTAAGAGGCAAAGGCTGCAGTGAGCTGAGATCATCCAGCCTGGGTGACAGAGCGAGATTCCATCTTAAAAATATAAAAAGAAAATATAATTTTTAATATGAGAAATCCTATATTTGAGAGATGCCTCAATTTATCAGTGGTTTTTATAAAGTAAAGTTAAAAACAAACATGGAGGCTGTGTGTGGTGGGTCACGCTTGTAATCCCAGCACTTTGGGAGGCCGAGGTGGGCAGATCACGAGGTCAGGAGATCGAGACCATCCTGGCCAACGAGGTAAAACCTGTCTCTACTAAAAATACAAAAAATTAGCTGGATGTGGTGGCACGTGCCTGTAGTCCCAGCTACTTAGGAGGCTGAGGCAGGAGAATCGCTTGAACTTGGGAGGTGGAGGTTGCAGTGAGCTGAGATCGTACCACTGCATTCCAGCCTGGGTAACAGAGTGAAACTCTGTCTCAAAAAAAAAAAAAAAAAGTCTCTGATGTGACATTAATGTTCCTCTGCCATGGGAAGAATAGAGATATCGATGAATCTTTTCCTCCTAGTGAAAATGTAAGTGATCTACATGAGGACAAACCTGCAGACTGGGCTTACTGGCATCATATTCTGAGGGCAGATAACATTTTTAAATGTTGTTATATGATTGCAATGATTGCAAAAAAATTTAACCATTTATTACAAAAATGTTAAAGTTAATTAAACTTACAATTCAACTAGTCCACTCCAGTATCCACCTAATGCCACAGTGAACACAGCAATTACAAAAATAACCACCATAGTATAATCAAAGTTAGGCCACGATGGAGAATACATTTTCACAGTAACATTATTTCCTAGAGTCTGAAAGGCAAAATAACAGTTAAACAAAGGAATAACTTTTCTCTGTACTATAGTCATAACAGCAATAGTCCACATTTTACTCTGGAATGGATATTATACATCAGACAGTCAAGAAGACTAGATTTATTGTCTGATGACATAATATATTCTCTAATCAAAAGTATGATATGCTTTGGTTTATAAAATCTTGAAAGTGCAGTGTTCCACGCAATCATATTTTGCTCAAGAATTTAAAGTTAAAATAAATGACATGACAAGACGTTTTTTTCCCTTTTTTTCTAGAGTGCATTCTTGAGACAAGAGATTTTTAAAGAACTGAAGACAAACATCCTTTCACAGGTTTAGTAGGCTTTGAGACACTTTGTGCCAAATGAGGTGAGTACTTTCCAAAGAAAAACTTGATAGGCCTTATACCCTCTTGTTAGCAAATGGAGCAAATCTAACACTCAAAATTAAATAGCAGTGATTAAAAATAAAGAGATACACTATTTATAAACTTTATCTAATACGTAATTACTAATTTACCTGCTTCATATCTTTAAAGTCTTTGTGGCTTATAAATGCAATCAGTATTTTCACATCAGGAAATTCGGATCTGTTACCTGAGGGAGGAAACTAAAAAAAACAAAATTATGAAAACTTATTAACTACTAAAATATTTATAGAATAAAATACTATTCCATTAAATATAAATATTATATCTTTCTTTAAGTTATAAGACAAAATTTCAGGTATTCTTTCTTAATATTCTGTAAATTCTCAAAATTGAATACTTTTAACATGAACTTAAATTGATGAATGCTATTACACATGGCATTTATAATATTATATATATCCTACTATGTAAGTATAATACACAGATGTCTATATAGATGCATAAATATGTATTTGTTCCTAACAAAGTCTTACCTGTTCTAGGAATAGAAAACCTGCAAAACTTTCCAAGTGAATGCCTATGAGGTCTATTTATTTACAAAGAATCTTGCTATCAGATACTCAAAACTCAGCCTCTAAACCATACATAAAGACGTTTATTCCATTTCTGTGAAATTTCACATCATGAGCTCAAAATAAGTTATGATTGTTTTTATAACTTACTAGGACACTGTTGTTGACAACTAACATCGCTTCAGCACCTCCTTTCTGTGCAATTCTGGCTTTTTCAAGAAAATGGCAGCTTCCCCATGGCACCACAACTGCTTTGTTCTTTATGCCAACAGAAGGAATATCAGAAAGGTTGCATAGTGGTGTCGAGGTCAGATTCATCAAACTAATGGAAGTCTGAAAATAAGAAATGCCTTTTTAACATGATAAAAATCATATTTCATCCTAAATGCATTCAGTTATAAATACTGCATTCAGTTATCAATATTGGTTTAAGACAATATCTTTTAAATTAGAAATATTTAGGCTTAGAATTAAGTATTTAAAATGCTCTGTTTTCCCAGAGAGAAAAACACTTGAGAAAAATCAATAAAATTATTTATTAACAACCATATATTCCAACGGTGTCATACAATAAAACACAATTATCGCTCATTCTCACTTCTTCATTTTTTTTTTTTTTAAATAGAGACAGGGTGTCATTACATTGCCCAGTTGGTGTTGACCACTTGGTCTCAAACAATCCTCCCATCTTGACCTCCCAAAGTTCTGGGATTACAGGTATTAGCCACTGTACCTTCTTCACTATTTTTATGTTTATGAATAGTAACTGTGATTTACTTACTGTATTTTCTAGGGTACTTGGAAGAGCTGTCCAATAAGGGTTATAAAGCATGCAGTAGTCCTTGGATGTGCCATTTCCAGACGCATGCAAGATTGCTTCCTGAGCAGCTGTCTAGGAGACAAACAATGACTTTCAAACCGGCAATGATTTGGCTTTCCAACAACTAAGGATATTAATAAAGCTATTTATGTACAGGGTTGGTCACATTTTCTTGAGAGGGATGGCCTTCCATGAATTTATTTAATATTGTTTGAGGAAATAAAAAGGAGGCTTAGGAATATTAAGACTAAACCTAATTGCCCAGCACACCTTCTTTAAGGAAAATAGGTCACTTTCTTAAGGGAATAACAATTATGACTTGTTATAAGGGTCATACCCCAGGGAGGAGTCTTGCTATGATGTAACTTCAGTCCTCCCTCGAGGGCTGGAAACTTTCCTTTCCAGTCTCCTATGAATTACTACTTCATTGTTTGTTTGTTTATTTATTTATATGAGACTGTGTCTTGCTCTGTCATCCAGACTGGAGGGCAGTGGCACGATATCGGCTCACTGCAACCTCCACCTCCCAGGTTTAAGCAATTCTCCTGCCTCAGCCTCCTAAGTAGCTGGAACTAAAGGTGCATGCCACCATGCCTGGCTAAGTTTTGTATTTTTGGTAGAGATGGGGTTTCACCATGTTGGTCAGTCTAGTCTTGAACTCCAGACTTGCCAGAGTGCCGGGATTACAGGCGTGAGCCACTGCACCTGGCCACTGTTTATATTCTCTAAAACGACATTGTACTCAAAATCCCTCAATTTGTCTTACCTTCCATATTCTACTAGGAACTAGAGTACAAAGAAAAAAAGTACATTATACTTTCTAAGGGCTATCTTTGGAAGAGAACCAGCTGGAACTTGAAGTAAATTATTCTTGCTCATGTTTTCAACATTTCCCAACTGCCTATTCAAAAAGACCAATCCAGAATTTAAAGTACAGAAAAAGAAAAGCTTTGTCTCATTTCCCACTACCTTACATAGAATTAGACAAGAAAATAAGATCAGAAAAAGAGAAATACAGTTTTCATTCAGCTATATACTTGGTGGCTATGACTGGATTCTGACAGCAGAGCTGAACTAATACGTTACATTCTTACGATATAACAAACTACATGCTAGGTTACTTTCATACATTTTTCTGATTCAGTGTCCCTGTTTTACAAACAAGGGCTCTGGGACTCAGACAAGTCACTAACATAACCTTCCTAAGAAAGGTCATATAGTAGAATCATTTTCAATTCTAACTATAGAAAGTAATCCTGCAGATAAACAGGAGGGTTTATTTTTGGAAAGAATGTTTCACAAGTGAATTGGGTACTTCTTACTGCATCCAACAAAATAACACATTAACATCATGATTTCCTGCACTAGTGTTGCTGATCTGATGATCTGCTTAAGGTGGTAACCATAGGATTTCTCCAGTGTAAAGATGTTTTTCCCTTTTATGTTTGACAAGTAAGTAATCTATGATACCATGTGACCAGCCCAACAGCTTCTTCTCACCAGGATATTAGCCTCCATGATGATCCTTGCCTAAAAGTAATTTCCCATATCATACAGAGGATTACAAGATGGTGAATTTTTAAAATACTGTCTTTCCTTCTACCCTTACTGGCTAGTCTCCATTTTTTTTTCTTTTTTTGGATACGGAGTTTCGCTATTGTTGCCCAGGCTGGTGTGCAATGGCATGATCTCGGTTCACTGCAACCTCTGCCTCCTGGGTTCAAGTGATTCTTCTGCTTTAGCCTCCAGAGTAGCTGTGATTACAGGCGACTGCCACCATGCCCAACTAATTTTTTTTGTATTTTTAGTAGATAGGGGATTTCGTCATGTTGGCCAGGCTGGTCTTGAACTCCTGACAAGTGATCCACCTGCCTCGGCCTCCCAAAGTGCTGGGATTACAAGCATGATCCACCGTGCCCGGCCATATTCTTCTTTTTAAAAGAGCTCTACTCTTTTCCCTACCATCTTTTAGTGTCAATGGAGATGAATTTATGTTTTAAAAAATTCAGGGTGGTTTAATTACAATGATTTGTTTGATATCCAAACTGTCCCAAATTTGGTCATTTAGAACATCTTCTAGCTGACTGTATCCTTTATACAAGACTCACACCTGTAATACTAACACTTTAGGAGGCTGAGATGGGTGGATTACCTGAGGTCAGGAGTTCCAGACCAGCCTGGCCGACATGGCGTAACCCCATCTCTACTAAAATACAAAAATTAGGCCAGACGAAGCGGCTCATGCCTGTAATCCCAGCACTCCGGGAGGCCATGGCGGGTGGATCATTTGAAGTCAGGAGTTTGAGATCAGCCTGACCAACACGGTGAAACCCCATTTCTATTAAAAACACAAAAATTAGCTGGGTGTGGTGGTGGATGCCTGTAATCCCAGCTACTCAGGAGGCTGAGGCAGGAAAATCACTTGAACCCGGGAAGTGGAGGTTGCAGTGAGCCGAGATCATGCCACTGCACTACAGCCTGGGCGACAGGGTGAGACTCCATCTCAAACAAAACAAAACAAAAAAACCCTTCTATGGGCAGAGTCTTACTCTGAGCAGGAAAAAACAAACAAACAAAAAACACAAAAAAACCCCAAGACTTCATTAATCTTTGAGAACTTCTTGTTTTTTTTTGGCACAAGGTATCTTAGGCTGACTTTGTTCTTTATCTGCTACACATCCAGATCCAGCCATTCTATTAAGCTCCTTGAGGAGAGGAAAGGTACCCAGATCAGGATCTGGGTCCTTACTGTGCATGTGATATAACTGTTCAAGTGGTACAACCTTTTTAATGAACAATTAGCAGCATCTATCAAAAATTTTAATACATGGAACACCAAAAGCATTGGCAACAAAAGCCAAAATAGACAAATGGGACCTAATGAAACTCCACAGCTTCTGCACGACAAAAGAAACAGTCACTAGAGCGAATCGGCAACCAACAGAATGGGAAAAAATTTTTGCAGTTTACCCATCTGACAAAGGGCTGATATCCAGAATTTACAAAGAACTCAAACAGATTTACAGGAAAAAAACAAACAAGCCCATTCAAAAGTGGGCAAAGGATATGAACAGACACTTTATGAAAAAAGACATATATGAGGCCAACAATCATATGAAAAAATGCTCATCATCACTGGTCATCAGAGAGATGCAAATCAAAACCACATTGAGATACCATCTCACGCCAGTCAGAATGGCGATCATTAAAAAATCTGGAGACAACAGATGCTGGAGAGGATGTGGAGAAAAAGGCACACTTTTACACTGTTGGTGGGAGTGTAAATTAGTTCAACCATTGTGGAAGACAGTGTGGCGATTCCTCAAGGCCTTAGAAATAGAAATTCCATTTGACCCAGCAATCCCATTACTGGGTATATACCCAAAGGACTATAAATCGTTCTACTATAAGGACACATGTACACGAATGTTCATTGCTGCACTGTTTACAATAGCAAAGACCTGGAATCAACCCAAATGCCCATTGATGATAGACTGGATTGGGAAAATGTGGCACATATACACCATGGAATATTATGCAGCAATCAGAAATGAATGAGTTTGTGTCGTTTGTAGGGACATGGATGAATCTGGAGAACATCATCCTCAGCAAACTGACACAAGAACAGAAAATGAAACACCGCATATTCTCACTCATAGGTGGGTGATGAAAAATGAGAACACATGGACACAGGGAGGGGAGTACTAAACACTGGGGTCTATTGGGGGGAAAAGGGGAGAGCCAGTGGGAGGGGGAGGTGGGGAGGGATAGCCTGGGGAGAAATGCCAAATGTGGGTGAAGGGGAGAAAGGAAGCAAAACACACTGCCATGTGTGTACCTACGCAACTGTCTCGCATGTTCTGCTCATGTACCCCAAAACCTAAAATGCAATAAAAAATTAAAAAAAAATTTTTAATACATGGAATCCTCTGATTCTTATCTACATATATAGTATGCAAAAGCACAAAAATAAAGGTGTAAGTATATTCACTGAAATATAGTATGTAATAGCAAAAAAACCCAACCTCCACCAATAAGGTACCTGTTGCATTATGATATGCATAGTACACAGCTACTCAAAAGAAAGAGCTAGGTCTATCTCCAGAAACAGAAGATGTCCATAAGATAACAAATGAACCAAAAATTAAAAAATTAAATAAAAAATAAAAATAGAGGCCGTGCGTGGTGGCTCACGCCTGTAATCCCAGCACTTTGGGAGGCCAAGGCAGGTGGATCACGAGGTCAACAGATCGAGACCATCCTGGTCAACATGGTGAAACCCCGTCTCTACTAAAAATACAAAAATTAGCTGGGCATGGTGGTGCTGCATGCCTGTAATCCCAGCTACTCAGGAGGCTGAGGCAGAAGAATTGCCTGAGCCCAGGAGGCGGAAATTGCGGTGAGCCGAGATCGCACCATTGCACTCCAGCCTGGGTAACAAGAGCGAAACTCTGTCTCAAAAAAAAAAAATAATAATAATAATAAATAAAAAATAAAAATAGAGAGGAAAAAAAATAGAAGATGTCCATAGTGAGAAAAGTAAGTTTTAGAGTGGTATTTGTAGTATAATCCTATTTTTATAAAATAACCCCTCAAGAAGCCCCTACAATGTATCTGTGCGTTTATATGAGCTTGAAGAACAATGTGAAGAGATATACAAAGAGGCTATTAAAAGAATATACAGCAAATTTTGTGAGGGAGCCGGCATGCAGCATGCCCCAACAAGTTAAGTCTTTCCATTACAATCTTAGTAAAATTTCTCATAGATATTGCTAGCTTCAAAAATTCAGTTTACTACAATAGATATTATGGTACAAAGGTTAGGTTAAGAGCATGAGTTTTAAAATGATAATCCAAGGATGGGCACGGTGGCTCATGCCTATAATCCCAGCACTTTGGGAGGCCGAGGCAGGTGGATCACGAGGTCAAGAGATCGAGACCATCCTGGTCAACGTGGTGAAACCCCATCTCTACTAAATATACAAAAATTAGCTGGGCATGGTGGCGCATGCCTGTTGTCCCAGCACTCAGGAGGCTGAGGCAGGAGAATTGCCTGAACCCAGGAGGCAGAG